AAAGCCAGCCCGAGTTTCAAACTGCTAAAACGCAGTTTCAACTGCAATTGAAACTCGGGCCCTGACTAAACTGCTAAGACGCAGTTCCAAATGCAATTACAAACTGTAACCCTGACTGCGCCGTAGTTTTCTCAAAAAAAAAGGTACAGGCTTGAGTTCTTTATCAACGTTCACAATCCAAAGCAACTTGTTATCCCAACTCATACACTCCATACCCAGAGCATACCATAACAATAGAGAAAACCGGTACTGGCTCGAGTCCCTTATCAGTGACCTGTGTTCTAGTCCAACATAACGCATTCTGCCAACTGGTACTAGCTTGAGTCCCTTATGACTGACCCGCGTTCAAGTCCAACGCGAGTAGTTATCCCAAACTCATCCGCTTCATACCCAGCACATTATGCAAATTACCCCGTAGAGAGGCCTGAAAGGCCATCCACTCCAGATTAGGTAGGTGATTGAATTGGTTGGGCTTTAAAAAATTCACTTAAAATAATAATAATAATAATAATAATAATAATAATAATAAAAGTCGGTCAGTCATGGGTATTCTGGCCAGACTCACTGTGCAACCTGATAAATGTTTAGATCGATACGAATGAATGAAGTGCAACGAACAGTCTAGATACAGATAGAATGTTGTGTAGTTGAGGGAGACCCTTTGTCTGCTGTTAGCTGTGGCTGTGCTTGTCTGATTCACTCTCTTATGATTATATGGCGTAAATCCCGGTCATGTGTACAAAGCCATATCACGCTGACAGTAAACACCACACCGCTGGATGAGGTTCGCTTGTTTGCTTGCCTTTCATCATCATGCAGTATCCCCATTCTACAGTGTCCTAATATTAGAAGTCAAATCACACAAGTTCACAGCTCTTCTCATTGTACTGTTTTGCCATAATCAAAGCGAAATCACAGAAGCACAGCGCTGTATGTGCGGCAGTCTGTTGGAGACTGTAATGATCATTCTTTCCCTCGCCAATGTAATATGTATGCTCACACTTTGTCTTTTTTTTTTTCTTTTAAAAACTTTAAGGTTGTGACGGGTGTAGGGGGGCAGTGGTGAGAGAGGATGTCCATTAGGAGGCTGGACACACCAAGTTCAGCCCAGTGCACCGGATGGCACAGTGAACCCAACCACACACAGAGGACTCTCAAGCGAGAGCCACATTTTGACTGTGCTACTTCTCAGTGTTTTGCCCTCCCTCCATTCCTCCCTAGTACTTCCTTCCCTCCCTCTCTCTGTCCCTCTCTCTCTCTCTACGTCTCTCCCTCCCTCCCTCCCTGCTTTCTTGCTTGCAATTCATAACAGACTCTGAGTCAAATAGACTAAGTCCGAAAGTCTGTTGTTTCTCAATCATGGTTGTGGTTCCATGTGCCACACCATGACTGACGTTTTTTTAACTTTTTTTTCGGGGGGGGTGTTCTGGTGGGGGTCGATGTTTATAGGTTATGTCTGCGAGACTGGAGAGGACACGACTCAGGCAGCTGCCCCCGGTGAGGATTTTCACCCAACTTTCACCATTGCTATTCAATTTGCATTTTCTGTCCCTTCTCTTTTCTTTTTTTTAACCTCTATTTGCATACCATCAGCCTCAGACACATTGAGGCCATCCCTTGTCCTCGGGCGAAGCTTTGGTTGATGGCTCCTTCAGCGTATTCTTCTTGGAGATGAACATGCATTGATGTTGTGCTGGAAACACACAGACAGCCTGAGGAGAGAAAGGCACACAGTCTGTGATTAGTTCCTGTAAAAGAAATGAAAACAGAGGTTCCTGTAAGCCTGAAAGTCATGCCATCATGGCTTATAAAAAAAATATGAAGGTGGAGAGCAAGAAATCTGAAGGCGTACTCACATATAGATAGACTTGTTCACTCTTTGGACCAGTCAGAGAGGCACTTAACACATTACACCTTGGATCAATGCATGTTTAAACCACCAGCATGTGACATACCAGCTCCCGTACCTAAACCATCTTCTGAAGCCCCCAAATTTTGTTAATCTGACCCGACGACTCTCTTTGGGAACTCCCCTCCCCCCTCCCCTCTCTCTTTCTTTTGCTATATTCCTGTTGCGAGAAATCGCCGGCCAGTCAGGTCTTCTCGCGTCCAAGACGACGCTTCCTTTTCTTACAATTTCTTTTCGGAATCTATGCATTTACGTAGGAATTACGTGCTCCATAGCGAACGCGCTAGGAATTTTGTTCGGCGGTTGGAAATTCCGCAATTTACGGACGCTTTTTCCGTTGACGTGTCATTTCTTGCATAGGAATCTTCCCGCACCCGGCCTGAAGGATCTGTGAATTTTCAGTAGGCAACTAGATAGATGTAGGATCTTTTTGCGCGCCCAAGTCTGCGTGCTTGTATTGCATTTTGAATTTTGTATTCTTGAAATAACTTTGGGATGGGACGTAACTGCTTTGGTGTCCTTTTCTTTTCTGCACTAGCGCTTGCATGCAAGCTTCCCCCGCGTCCCTTTTGAACCCATGCCATCTTCACTCTCCTCCTCTTCGCGCCTTCTTCCCTAAGGCTTCATCCGTAACTGTTTTCCATCCCCTCTCTCTCTCGTGCTTCACACCAATCCCTCTTGTCTGAATCTTGGACCTGCTCCCCACTACTTTTCACGCTCTTCTTCTTCGAATCTTCCCGCCTACATTCTCATACAGGAGCTCCCTACCGATCCCCTTCAAAGTATTCAAAGCTGTCGAACGACGTCGTGTAGGGGGAATACCTCGTGCACGAAGCGTCGTGTAGGGGGAATACCTCGTGCACGAAGTAATCTGATTGGTTGTGCAGAAGCTTGCGGGGATCGACATGGCCTTCCAAGGGCAAACCTCCCAAACTCCCTCTTCACCCATCCTACCTCCACCCCACGCTTCCCCATCCTCTATTTCCCTTCTCGCAACTGTAAGCCCGCAAGTGCACCCAAAAATCTCTCTCTCAACCCATCGGCCAGCTTCTGGGAAGTTGTGGCTTGGTGATGTGCAAGCAACGAGTCGGAAAGTCCTGATGAGCTGACTGGAGTGTATGCATGGCTGTGCGTCACGTGGCCGCGACGAACTGCGGGATCTGGGCAAGTTGGTGCAGCAGCTGAGTTGGCGGGGTGACCATCACTGTGATTTGGAGATTGCCAATGGTGTGTGGCGGCCAGGATCGTCAGTATCAAAGTGAGAGGAGTGTGTGTATATGAATGGTTGCACGGCCAGGGGCCATGATCAGAGAGCAGAGGCCGGGGCGCCTTGATTTTTCGGGTTCGTTTTCTGATTGGTTCTCAGAAAGTTAAGTCTACGGCAAATAACCGAGCGTTCTTCCCAGAAATTGTCTGTGTAATCTGAGCCTCCCCAATTCTCTTCCTTGAATCTGTCATGCATCTATCACTATCTCAGAGTCTCTTTCTCGTTCTCGTGCTCATGACTGTTTGATGAATGTCGGAATGGCTCGGGATTTCCCTGATCTTGGCCACCCTTGTTGAATCTAACTGGATCTCGCATGAACGAGTATGGTTGAACTCAAAAGGGACCGGAAGATCGTCATCAATTTCTCTTGCTAATGCGTCCCTTGAACATCTGAAGAATCGTGTATGTGGGATCGCGTGCGTATTTGTATCGATCGTGTTAATTGTGCATGATGTGCAATAAGGCTATGAATATGTATGTTCATCGCTGCCCTGATAAATGACAAAAATCGCCACCCTTGAGTCAAACTTTTATCCTTTCTCCTTTTTTTGGTTGTCGAATGAACGAATTGCAAGACCTGATTATTTATGAGATTAAGCAGTTGAGTGAATAAGCTCATGTACACTGGCTTTGCTCGTGCCATGTGGACCGATTATTCCGATCCAACCGGGTGCCAACTTCACCCCCATCTTGGCCATTCCCCTATAACGAGGAAAGCACACTTGTGTGCGAGTGGGACGTACGAGAAGTTGTCGCAAAGATCGGTGAAAGATACTATTTTCCACCAGAAACAATGTGCTCTGGATTTTTAGGTGCTGGTTTTGTCATTATCGATATTGATTTTCCCCGTACTCGTTGTTGTTGCTTTTTAACGAGTTAATTGTCATCTTGTGGACGGCAGTGGCATCCCATTGGCCTAACACCCTGTGCAGCGACTGTCGCCACATAGAGCGCTACCGAAAAAGGGGGTTCCACTACCAAACAAGTGACGAAGTCGAATATAAGGAACGAGCGAGCAGGTTGAGGCCCTCCACTTCAGATTATGAGCTATGTAACGAGCGACGTCGAGATATGATCCGAAAAAAGAGATCCCACGTGCGTTCCTTCGCCCTGTCACTCTAAAAGACGACCAATAGCCCGCGCGAAGCGGCGAAGGTACAACGATACTTTTTGGATTGAACGGATGTTTAAAAATTACGTGTGTTTATTTCCTTATTGTGCGTTAGTGACCCGTGCTCACTAAAATCGGAACCACACGGGGGACCTTAGTTCCGTCCGAGTCCCCACACAGGGCCACACTCAATTTCCCAAAAATCCTTGGCCCACCCCATTCTGTTATCTTTCAGGGCCTCTTCCGCACAATTTATCACTCCGAGCGGAAGACAGCGCAGGGCTTGAGGCTGGTATTGGAGCTGACACGTGTTGGTTCTAGTAATAATAAGACAAGCTGGTGAAAGGACAAGCTCGAACAGATTGAAGGAATCCTTCCGTCACTCGAAACAGGTCAGCATAAGCAAGGCCAGCAGGAGCGATGGCCGACGACAATGTACAGACCCCTCGCATAATGGTGAGCCTCTCCTCCACCTTCCCTTTTTATCCCAATCATACTCACCTGGAGGTAAGGCTTGAAGCTGTAGAGGCTCAAGGTTACGATGTGGCCGACCTTCGTCGGGTTATCACTCTTCTCGTAAGAAACACAACTCATGGCTAGTTTAGATGTCACAAATGGGTACATCCTGATTCCATCCGCCCAACTTGCCTATCCACCTCTCCCAAGATCCTCTGGGTGTTCCCTCCCCCCCCTTGGGAAAAGAGCTAGTAAAAGAAGAAGAAGAAGAAGAAGACACGGGTCCAAATAAAATAAAATATAAAGGGGAAGCGTTCAGAAAAGGAGGAATAATCTACATCTTAAGGGGAAATACTGGAATTATTGCATTTTAGTTCCGGTTCTCGGAGTAACTAGTAGCAACGAGGTTCTAAATACCTCTATCTATCTAACAAAAAAAAAAAAAAAAAAAGGGGCAGGGGGGGAGGGAATTTTCTTCCCACACTTCGGCGTGACTTCGCCCTCCTTTTTTTTTTTTTTTTTTTTCGGAAGTTTTGAGTACTCCGATTCCAAAATGAAACTTGGATAAAGAAAGTTAAAGGGAGGGAAGAGTCTTATTTTCTATCAGGGCGCAATGCGCCACATGATGTTCAAACAGCTTGGGCCTACCCTATGCCAGACCAGTAGGACACATCAAACAATTTCAACCAATGACAACAACAGCAATGCAAATCGAATGAGCAAGTGTACAACAAAACTCGAGTGGGCCTCACAAAAGGAAGCAGGGAAATGAAACTCACAAGAAGGTTGTCCACCAGATGGAAATGGAAAATCCCAGTCCCTTCTGTAGGGCCAACAACACTCACAGCAAACACAACCTACACAGCCATCAATGGTTGGGCATTGGTGGTTAAAACAACAGGAGGGGAAAACCAGATCTCCACGATGGTTGCAGAAGGGACCCACCCCGCTCAAGATCTCATCATGAAAGACAACGATGATGAGATTCTCACAGAAGAAGAAAGGGAGATTCTCAACAGGAAGATAAATCTGGAATTGGTTCCACAATGATCTCAACTTCTCAAGCACCTAATAGTATAGCATCAGAACAATCATCGTGGGCGAAAAAAATAAGAGACACCCTTCAACAGAAATCTCTCACTATTGTGCGTCCCCCGGTCAATGACTCAGGACTGCCTGCGGAAGAACTGAAAGTCCCAATGGGAAATCTATCATCAGCTAGGACATATTTCCTCACAATGTTCCACCAACCCTCAAAACAGAAAGTTGTTTATCATGGGGTTAGAAAACGTTGATGAAATCATACCCGACAGGCAAATTGGCACAGAGAGATAAGATCTACACTAGTCACGCAAGTAACTGGATCTTCTACGACAACAGTGCACATCGTTCAGTAAATGACAATACAAAATGAATATGTAAGAGACTGGAAACAATGAAAGATAGTCCGGAGGCAGTTAAGGAATTTTTCCTGATACAACCTGTTTCCCTGATTGTCTTCACTGTTCTTAGTTTTTTTGAACAAGACAAAGTCAAAATTGATAGATGGAGGAAATTGCAGTGGGAAGGGTTGGATGGGCGTATCTATCTGTGACAACCGTAGAAGATTGGACCGGAAGAAAGAAGAGACCAACTCATGAAAGACTACTAATGGGTAGAACTGCGACACATTCCGATCGAGATACAGGCGGCCTTTATACATGATTTTGACCAACAATACAACATAGTGGACTTCATAGATCCCCTGCCTACCT